GGTGTCCAGCGACCTAAACACACCAGGTTAGCCAGCTAAGCTACAGCGGAGCCGATATCAGCTAAGCTTAGCTAACCTGGCTAACATAACGCGTCAGCACGCTATGCTCAGATAACACGGGTTTTTTCCCCTCGCAAAGCCGTAAAAAGTAAAAACTCAGACCTGTGGACTCTCCGCTGTGCCTCGTAGCGCAGAAGAGTAGCGATATCCTAACCTGCGTTTCTCTGAACTCAAATCTTTGGTGGCTAAGCTAACTCCCACTGTACACTCCTCACTGTTGCCCAGCAACGCGCGAGGCTTTATCGCGAGATCAGTCTGTCGAAATCTCGCGCCACCCCAGAGAACGGGCTCTGAGTCTGCAGATTAAAAGGGAACTCCACCGATTTTTCAAATTCAAAATTTCTGCAAAATTCAATGGTTGAGATGTAAATAAAGTCACCCAGAGTGGTTCGCTATGAAATGGTTCGCTGTAGGGAAGCTTGCAGACAGATGTCTCTCCAGTGGTGGTGATAGGAACCAGGGATCGCATGAGTGCAACACAAATACAGCCAGTTTATTTACTATCCAAAGCCACCAGTGAACCTACACGTCTTCTGAGTTTTAGCACGGAATGTTGATGATGGTAAAATGTGACATCCTGTACAAATAAAAATAATGCGTGACCACGACTTAATAAGGCGTGGGAATGAGATGATTAAGTCGTGGCCATGACTTAGTAAGGCGTGGGAACAAGATCACGGCTTACTAAGTCATGGCCACGCATTAGGATCTCGTTCCCACACTTTACTAAGTCGTAGCCACGACTTAATCATCTCATTCCCATGCCTTACTAAGGCGTGGCCATGCATTATTTTTATTTATACAGGATGTCACCAGCGTACGGAGCCCTGATGATGACATATATAAATAAAAATAATGCGTGCGACTTAGTAAGGCGTGGGAATGAGATCACGGCTTACTAAGTCGTGGCCACGCATTAAGATCTCGTTCCCATGCTTTACTAAGTCGCCTTACTATTACTTACTATTTTTATTTATACAGGATGTCACCAGCGTGGTAAATATGAAAAAAAAAAAAAGTTTTCTTTGGGGACTATTTTGCCTTAGAACACCCTTAGTGTATCCTTCCACCATGAATTGATTAAAGTAAATGGACCAAAATACATTTTAGACCAAAACGTTGTCACAAAACTACCATTAAACAATGTCAATCACCAGGCCGCGTATATCTAACCATTTCACATAAGAACCTTCTGTGAGGGAGCTTTTTAACGTTTCTCATTTTTGGACATGATTTGAAATCAGCAGATTCCCTTTACACTGTGTTAAACCTTCATGATGAATGGACAGATAGAAATAATCCAAAATGACTTGGGTTATTTTTTTTATTATAAAAGTTGGAAAGTCCTAACAGCCACCACATTTTACTGGACAATTCCTCACAGAGTGGACTGCACATTTTTCTACATACACCCTTAAAAAAAGATGGTTCTTCAAGGGTTCTTTAGTAAAGAACATGGTTCTATATAGAACCATGAGCACTCCAAGACCCCTTTGCATAAAGGATTCTGGAAAGGAATGTGAGCCTTTTTTAAAAAGGGTTCTATCCAGTACCAAAAAGGGTTCTCGCATTGTTTCAATATTAATCTTTTTGCAGTGCTATATGGAAGCCGTTTCAAAAAGGTTCTATATAGAACCATATAAAACACATTCTCCATCAATTTGAAGAACCTTTAATCACGCAGAGAACCTGTAATTATAAAAAAGTGTTCTTGGGGTGTTCATGGTTCCATATAGAACCATTTTCTTTACTAATGAACCCTTAAAGACTATCCATTTTTAGGAGTGTAGGGCATAGTGAACCAGGGGTCGAGTGAATCATTTAGAACAGAGTCTCTGAGTGCATGTCGCCACAGGGAGGCGCTAGAGGACAATTTAACAGAAAACAGTGAGAAAAGTGGTAGAATCAGAATCAGAATCAGATTCATTGGCCAAGTATGTTGACACACACAAGGGATTTGGTTCCAGCTGTTCTTTCTAGTAATAAATTCAGTATTAAAACAATGTACAAATAATTTGCAGACAATAGACAATTTACAGAAGATAGACAGGTGAGACGAGAACAGTTATATTGAAACTGATCATTACTTTAGTACATATCGGATGGATTTGGACTTTTCTGTGTATTTTCAAATGATGCTTTTGGGTCATTCTACAGAAACGTCCATTTTTGTGTCCCTAGTGTTTACAGATATATTACATTTGAAAAACATGTTAGGGTTACAATTTATTTATAATTTAACATATATTTTGAAATAAAACAATTATTTTAACAATTACACCTTCTTGAGCCTCAATTTAGCAATATTGGTTTATAAATCAATCATATAGAATTCCAAACACCACAGAAGAGCTCGTCCTCACAGTCATGTGTGAAGGCTGAGGCCATATTTTGAGGTAAAACACATGTTTTTCTGCAATTTTAACTGCAATAATCTATACATGGCTATGAAATATATGATTTCAATGACATAAAGAAAACAAATGCCAAATAAATATTACAAAATATATAATGAAAGTTCCCCAGGAGTCGTGTCACTGGTGTTACTGCATAACAAAAAATCTCTTGTTTTGAAATAAAAGTCACACTGATGACATCACTCGACTTCCTTTTACCTGTTTTCTGAGGATCTATGAAGAAAAGCACATGGTGAGTCCACTGTGTCTCTCAGTTATCAGAGATTTTCTCATTTAGCTCATGATTTCATATGAAGCTTTTAGCTGAAGTCACTGGTGTGACCCACTTTATTCTGAGGTAACTGTGAAAAAATAGAATACAAATGGATTAAATTACATATTTTACTGGATATTCCATGACTGACAACATGTGGTTTGATGTTCTGTTGCAGCCATTCTGTAAAATGCATTGTTCATTTAAAATGTCTCTGGTGTTCCCTTTATTATGTGTTACACCAATGAGGATCGGTAACACCAGTGACTCCTATGGAGAGATAGAAAAGTGGACGTTTCTGTAGAATGACCCTTTTACTTAGACTAATGGACTTTTGTGAAGAAATGAATACTTTTTTTATATTTTAGCCGTTTACATGGAGTTCCTAATTCCTTTTTTTGTATTTAATTTCATTCCACTCTGTTGGTTCACCTTCTGGGCCTGTTTGTTGCTGTTCACAGCCCTCATTTTAACTTTTAGCAGTTTGTTTTAGACTAAAGGGATCACAAAAAGAGAAGAATAGCTCCTATTCATTCATTAAAGTAGAAATTCCTTCACTGGAGCAGCTTCAGGCTGCTTGGTCCATCTCCCAGGTTAACACAAGGATATGACTGTGAGATGCAAATGAATGAATTTGCAAACCACACAATGTCAGACTGTGCTTTGTTGTGCTCTGTTGAGAGAGAAAGTGTCAGCAGCCACGACTGTCAATTTAGTTTCATTTATCTCTATTGTTATTATTTTTATTGTTGCTGTCATTAAAGGGGCCATATTATTGAAAACTAAACGAGCTTGATGTAGTTTGTAAACATAGTTTCAAAACATGCTGTTCCATGCCGTCCAGTCAGGGGAAACTAATCTGTGAAAACAGCCCGTTTTCAATTTATTTGTTTTTTTTTTGTGATGTCATTAAAACCCATTGATTTACATATATATAGTCTATTCAGCAGTTAAGCCCTGCCTACCGAGAGGGTTTATGTAGCAAAACCAGTCAAAATCCATTCTTACATGATCATTTTTTAACCTTTCTTTATCTCTCAGAATTAACTAGGCTGTTTGTGTCTGTGCCTTTAAGGCTGGTAATATGTAAATTACCTCTGTTCTGACTGGCCACCTTGTATTGTGCCTCATTCAAAAATCAGCCTGGGCTGGAAAATGTCTGCATGGCTGTAGGCTGAATATATGGATATATGAAAATGCATTCGTTTTCATGACATCACAGAGGCAATTAATTCACAACAGACAGTTTTTGTTCGCTATATTTGCTATTTTCGTGTTGTAGATGTCGAACCCTGGTTCCTATCGCCATCACTGAGTTTCTCTACAATAAACCATTTCGCATCAAACCACTCTAAATGATATTGTTTACATCTCTTATTGAATTATGCAGAAATATAGAAAAGAAGTGGAGACACTTTTAAACACTACAGCTTCTATACCAAAAAAAATTAAATTGGGTACTGAGCTTAGTTTTGGGTGAGGCGGAGTACAGCGGGACAGGAATAAGGGCTGCAATATACAAATATATATCTCCATTTTTGACATTTTTTCAGTTTTGACATAATTTTAAAATACCTGTAACCCTTTACATTGTATGTAAATTTCATAATGAATGGACCAAAATAAACGGCCCAGAAATACTTGGAAAATTGTCTGGTTCCATTGACTTACATTAAAAGTAAAGTAGGTTTCGTCCTTCTCCTGTAAAGTTACCATTTTGAAGGTTTTCTTTAGACAACAGCATGTATGTATATATATATATATATATATATATATATATATATATATATATATACATATGTATATATATATATGTATACGAATATGTATATATATATATATATATATATATATATATGTATATATGTATATATATGGTGTATATAAAATACAACACTATGTTTTTCTGAACATGTCATGGATACCATCAGTACTTGTAGTGAACTGCATATGAAACTGCATGTTTCATTATAAAGACAGCAAAATTAGTCCTGGATTTGCAACACAGTGCAACACAGTATGCGGAATATCGACTAAAAATCATTGTATTCACAGTTTTTAATAGTATTTTTAAAATACTGTTCTTACTTCTCTTCTTCAACTGATCGGATGTCTGAAAACGTAAACATCGTGACATATCGTGCGTTGCGAAAATGTCTCAAATTATTGCGACATTATTATTATTATTTTTTTTTTTTGCCACATCGCCCACCTCTAACAGCAATACAAACTACCGTGAGGACGCCTGTGCGCATGCTCGCGGAGCTCCGCCTTGTTCCACAGGGAGGATAATCGTCTTCCTCGCTGGAAAACTTGGCCCGTCCATGAACTAAACCCGGCGTTTTTTTTTTGTTGTTATCGCTGTCCTCGGTATGGACTCTCAGAAAGTAAGTGACTCGTGCTGTTTCGCAGTCTTATAAACGGGCCTGACCGACCGCGGTCATGTGAGAATGTGTTTATTCCATCGTGTGAGGAACCTTTATAGTCCACACCGTTACATTAGTATTCCGGCTCTCTGCCGAAACACCAACTCCAGCACAGGCTGTCCTGTCTGTCCTCTTTACTGTCCGCATTGTGGCCAGTGTTTGTGGTTCCTGGGCTCGTTTTCGAGTATTCGAGGTCGAACGAGCGACGTTGTGGTTTTGCTGGTGGTGCAGTTGTGCTTGTTGTTGCTCTGCCTGTTTGCTTTATGGGAGTTAACTGCGCTATTGGGAAGAAATGAGAGTGTAAACCGCTTGAATGCATACATAACGCATGGTTCATCATGGCATTTAGGCTGCTGAGACCTTCCTGACATTCACACAGAGTGGACTGAACTGACCACCGGCACGCAGACCATCGTAACTGGGCTGTAGACTGTCTGCTGTGGACTTGTCAACAGATTGGTCATGGGGCTGTGGCAGGTGCATCCCATGAAAAGGGAAAGTGCATAGCCTGAATAGTGTCTGTGCTGTAGGTTCAGAGGCTGTGGATGCGTTTGAAGGTCGTAGTATGATTTGCTGGTGAGTCCAGATGATTTGTGTTGACTTTGTAAATATGGGTGAGTGAGAGTGACACAGAGAAAGGAGAGGGAGAAAGGCTTAATGGACAGGGCTGTAGGGGAGGTGACCTCACTCAGGAAGCTGTGGGGTTGTGTACTGTGGAGCGGACTAGATAGAGGCTGGAGCATGGAGCATGTGCTTATCAGAGTCCTGCTGCTTCCACCGCTTCTTTGAGCGTCATGCACACGCACATCAGGGATGTACCACTGCTCATGTTTTCAGGTTCAGTACAGTTTTCAGTAGTTTACAGTGCCTTAACTGTACAGAGCTCTGTTCATCTTCTGCACCACTTGGTTTTATAGTGATCTTGTGAAACAGTGCAGCTATAAACAGTACAAGAAGCTAAAACCTTGTTCAGCATGTTCACCGATCAGGCATAACATTATGACCACCTCTTGTTTCTACGCTCTTTGTCCGTTTTATCAGCTCCACTTACTATATAGGTGCACTTTGTAGTTCTACAGTTACAGACTGTAGTCCATCTGTTTCTCTGATACTTTGTTAGCCCCCTTTTACCCTGTTCTTCAGTGGTCAGGACCCCCATGGACCCTCACAGAGCAGGTACTATTTGGGTGGTGGATCATTCTCAGCACTGCAGTAACACTGACATGGTGGTGGTGTGTTAGTGTGTGTTGCGCTGGTACGAGTGGATCAGACACAGCAGTGCTGCTGGAGTTTTTAAACACCTCAGTGTTGCTGCTGGACTGAGAATGGTCCACCAACCAAAAATATCCAGCCAACAGCGTCCTGTGACCACTGATGAAGGACTAGAGGATGACCAACACAAACTGTGCAGCAGCAGATGAGCTATTGTCTCTGACTTTACATCTGCAAGGTGGACCGACAAGGTAGGAGTGTCTAATAGAGTGGACAGTGAGTGGACACAGTGTTTAAAAACTCCAGCAGCACTGCTGTGTCTGATCCACTTGTACCAGCGCAACACACACTAACACACCGCCACCACGTCAGTGATACTGCAGTGCTGAGAATGATCCACCACCCAAATAGTACCTGCTCTGTGAAGGTCCATGGGGGTCCTGACCACTGAAGAACAGGGTAAAAGGGGGCTAACAAAGTATGCAGAGAAACAGATGGACTACAGTCTGTAACTGTAGAACTACAAAGTGCACCTATATAGTAAGTGGAGCTGATAAAATGGACAATGAGTGTAGAAACAAGGAGGTGGTCAGAATGTTATGCCTGATTGGTGTATGTGCCAAATCAATGCTGGCTCTGACACTAAGCATAACCTTTAACTATAAGTTACCATTAGAAAGACAGAAAAGGTGAGACCACTGGGAAAGACAGAGGACATGAGAGTAAAATTGTTCTTATTTTAGCTTGGACGTTCATGTCCCTGGTCATATTAAGCATGGTTCATTATATACCATATCATTTGAAAGGTAAAATTCTTGTTTTTCCTGTAGTCTTTGATTGAAGTGTAATGACTTCCAGCGTGTGGGGAAAATAATATTGATCAGTATCATCTTGCCAAACTGCGTCCTTTGAAATACGACACTCCAAACAAGATGTAATGACATTTGTTGAAGTATATCGGAAAGATACTTTACTGTATGGCAGCCTTCCAACTCATGCTAAGCAGCTGACCAGGCCAAAACACAAAATGCTTGGTGCCCGAAGTTGCTTCAGTTTTGCACGGGAGATACAAGGTTAATAAGCCAAAAAGTGATAAAAGCCTAAGACCAAATGTTTAGCATTGTTTACACTGCATACCTAAATTTTCACATGGTTCTCTTGAACTGTTGAGTTTCTAAGTGATCTCTTTACAAACTACACTTCTTAAGTGATCTCTTTACAAACTAGACTGCTTAAGTAATCTCTTTACAAACTAGACTTCTTAAATAATCTCTTTACAAACTAGACTTCTTAAATGATCTCTTTACAAACTAGACTTCTTAAGTGATCTCTTTACAAACTAGACTTCTTAAGTGATCTCTTTACAAACTAGACTGCTTAAGTAATCTCTTTACAAACTACACTTCTTAAGTGATCTCTTTGCAAACTAGACTTCTTAAGTGATCTCTTTACAAACTAGACAGCTTAAGTGATCTCTTTACAAACTAGACTACTTAAGTGATCTCTTTGCAAACTAGACTTCTTAAGTGATCTCTTTGCAAACTAGACTTCTTAAGTGATTACAAGCTAGACTTTCTGATGTGGTTTCTGACACTGTATGATGTAGTTATCTATAAAAATGGACAGACATACAGACAAAATTCACGCTTCCATTTGGCCACTAGTTCTGTTTTGAGTCATGACATATGCTTTTCTTTATCATCGTTGTTGTAGGTCTGTAGTTCATTTGTCGTGTGAATTGGTAATGTTTGCTTTCTAATTTGTAAAACCCAGTACAACACTTTGGGTGAAAAATATTTAACTGAAAAGTCAAATCATGGCGATTAGAGGTAGGTCTTTGGTTTGGGCCATAAATGTCAAAAATCAGAAAAAAACACTTGATAATGACTCTCAGAAATAAAGGTACTAATCTGTCACTGGTTCAGTGCCCCTCTTGTCACTGGGGTGGAGGGTCAAGGGTCCATCTCAGTACCTTTAGTCAGAGAACATAACTGAACCATAATCCACTGAAATGATATGTTCTAAGCTGTACTGACTCCACACACCCCGTCTCGTCTCCAGGCTTTTATTTTACTGTTCTGTTTAAAACATTCGGTTATGAAAAGGTACAAATACGAACTTTTCACCTGGAAAAACTTATTTAAGGTTCACAATCAGACCTTAAAACCACTGTTGGAGCTTTGAGGGAACATTTACACTGTTTGTACCTTGATGAACGGAAAGTGTACCTGAACAGAACCTTTATTACTAACAGTGTAGAGATTCTAGTAGTGTGACATATGATAACTTTTTGGGTGTATCTGATTAAACACGGACATTTGAATCTTGTGAAAGATGCTCATACATTATACCTTGCATGTAGCAGCACTGCAGTGAGTCCTTCAGTACAGAGCTCTGGCATAGAACTAGAACTGCATTGCTAACAACCGACAGAAAATTTAATGATTAGGCTGTCGCTGTTGGTGACATATCTAGAACCTCCAGAAAGCCGGCTGTGTTCTTTTTCTTGTGAAATTCATCACACTTATTGGAATTAAATTACAACTGGATGATTATACTATCACTTCCTAATTATGTTGGTGGGGGTGGGAGGGGAGTAATCCTGGTTGGACAATTTTCTGTTGTTTCCAACCAACAACACTTGCAGAGTTTAAATGCAATAATTACGATGATTCTATGAAATAAAAGTATTTAATTCTGAAAAATCATTAGGCCATATATATATATATATATATATATATATATATATATATATATATATATATATATATATATATATATATATATATATATATATGTGTGTATGTATGTGTGTATGTATGTGTGTGTGTGTGTGTGTGTGTGTGTGTATGTAGAACCATCTATTTTTAGGAATGAAATTATAAGCCATATTGAACATGAGCCAAAATATGGTCAGAGTCAGGACTGCTTCTTAGCTGGAGTGAATCCTGTAAAGGCGTAAATGATGAAATTATATCATGGTGCATTTTGATGCTGCTACACCTGCATTCCCATGCTGTCCCATGCTGTCCCATGCTGTCCCATGCTGTCCCAGCAGGCCGTGGCTTCACTTGCAGTAACTGGGTCATGTGTTTAGCCAGCGAGGGGGCCTGAGTGTAATAGTACAGGTCTTCATTACCTTTCTCCACTAGGCCTCACGCTTACGCTCACTCACTGATCTGAAGGCGAGAGCAGCAAGAGGCTTAGATTTCAGCCCCACTCAGTGTATTGAAGTGTAAACCTCTTCAGGCGTCTTGTCGTACTTGGTGGATTTAGTAATATATATTAATAAGAAGTTATTTTTGTTGTGGTTTAAAAGTAAACCTTTGGAGCTGGAGAGCTAGGCCCAATCCCATCTCACCCCTCGTCCCCACCACTCAGCCCTTAGCCCTCTGTTTTCCACGTTCACGTCTAGGGGCAGGGTGTCCCGATTCTTGTTGAGATAGAGGGGTAGGGGGAAGTGTTGGGGCTACATGACCCTCCAAATGGAGGTTTTTCAGAGACTCCAAACAGAGAGATATGAGGAAAAAAGAAAAACCAGCAAGATGGAGAACGAGAGACCAAAGAAACCCGCAAATGTGAGAATTTTCTCAGTTAAAAATTACGATAACCACTGTATTATATTAGTTTAATGTTGTTTGAGTGTATTATGGTTAATTTTTTTCATAACAAGCATAAAAAATCACTAATAGCATGCTAATGTCTCTGTAGCTAGCTAGCTAACTTTCCCGTTCCACCTTAAATAGTCC